GGGGGGGGGGGGGGGGGGCTAGACCCCTACGAATTTTGTCTCCGGTTGCCTTGCCAGCAATGGCCTTCGGTTAAACCGCCGCCCATTCCACAAAATCCTTATGACGATTTCAGCGCGGCGTACAAAGCACTTTCAGCCAACCGTATGCCAAACGGACAGATTGACTGGGATGCCCCCTGCCCCCTCCACAAATTGCAGTGCATGGCTTGGGAGAGCGTGCAAAAGAGCACTTGCCCCTCTTGGAGCATGAGGGAGCATATTACACAAGTCTGGAGCAGTGGACTAGCGAGAGTCGCACCAACTCACCAGTGCGGCCTAAAGAAGAGGTTGTGGTGGGGGAAGAACTGAATTCTTCCCTACCATGCTCCGCTGGTCGCTTGCCCCCTCGGAAAGCTCCTAGGCGACCTGGAGTAGCATGAGCGGCCTCAGGGTCTTCATCCTCATCTAGGTGATGCCGATTGGGGCTCACAGAAAAGTGAGTCGCCTCCTTTCCTTCCCTTGCAGGAGAAGGACGGGGGGTTTTTATTGCGGCTATGTTATATCCGGGCTTGGCCCTATCATACCCTCCCCCATGTCCGACACCCTCGCAAAAACCAAAGGACTTACGTTCAAACATTATGATCCATTTTAATGAGAATTCCAAGTCCTTCAACCCGAGAGGCCAAAATAACTTCGGACCTAAGGGTTCTGCCAACCAACTCCCACTCCGCCAAACCCCACCCTAAACATCCAAAACTCCTTTCCATTTAATTCCTTTCAAACATAAAGTTTTCCTACACTTATTTTAGCCCATGGCCGAAAATAAGGGTGTGTAAAATAAAACCTTTTGTTTGTTGTTATTTTCCTTGTTTTAAGCCTTTTATTCAACAAATAAAACCCTCCCTCTATTCCATTCACCCCCTGGCCAAAATACACTTCACAATCCCAACATAAACACCCACAAAGACCCAAAACCCTGACCCACCACTAGCCACTCATTCCTGCCCCTGTTCCCTTACAAATAACCCAAACCTATAAGTCCAAAACCACACATTATATCCCCCATCCCTGCACCCTTTTATTAGCCAAAAACAACCCCCCTTTTTACCTAAATAATAGCCACAAAAACCCAAGAAACAACCACTAGGAACCAAAACACAAACCCCACAACCCCAGCCCCATCCCTGATTTTATTCCACTAAGGAGACATGAATGAATGGCCAATATCCCATGCCATGGAAGAGATTGTTTCAAGGAAGCTTCCCTAAATTTACATTCAATGTATTTTGAATAATCTCCCCCTTCCCCTGCCTATATAACTCAGACCTTATGGCCATTGTAACATACCTTTTGAATATTAAAACATTTTACTCTTTGAGTATTATTAAAATAGTGTGATTCTATTTTAGCCAAATTCCTAATTCTATATTTTAAGAGTGGTTATCTTAAGTGTGAGTTTTAGGTTCTAGATATTTGATTAAGTGTGTCATATCTTAATTAAATTCTAGATTCAAACCCTAAGTTAGGATAAGAGTGTGTAATATCTCTTAAACACCAACTTGGTTTATCCATCCCAGATTTTCTTCCATTTCTTAACTCCCCATTTCTCCTTCTTTATCTTATTCTTTTCTTCCATAAAATATCAAAAAGAACTCCTAAAACACCCTCCACTAAATCCGCCACTAAATTATCAACTTGATAAGACCCCCGTTTCACCCCTAACATTTGGTATCAGAGCTCATTGTTCCACATCCCTAAGGGCCAAAAACACTTCCCTCCACAGTTCTCAACCCTTTCGTCCCAAACCTATTGCAAAACAAAAAAAAACAGCCCAACAAAACCCACTTTTCTTCCTTCATTACCTACTGCCCAGAACCAGCCCCTCCCAAAAAAAGGCCATTCCTCCATCACCTTTTGCTTTGGTTTGAGAAGCCAAAGACATCCCCAAAAAAAAACCCAAAAGCCCACCCACCTTATCACCTAAAACAGTCCCTGGCTAAACCATCCAAAAACCAAGCCAAAACATACTCCAAAAACCTTCCAACTCACTGCCCAAGAACCAACCCCAACATAACCTATCTTTGTTCACCTTAGGCCCCCAAAAACAAACCCCAATTCGGCCAACCTATACCCCAAAATTGTTAGAATAAGTGACCAACGCTAGAGGGGGGGTGAATAGCGTTTGATCGTAGAAATCGCAGGAATAAAAAATTAAGAACGTGAAAAGTAAAGAGCGTAGAAAGCGTAAAGGGAGAACACCAAGATTTATACTGGTTCACCACAACGTGTGGCTAATCCAGTCTCCCGAGAGACTCTCTCGAGCTACACTACTATCTCGCTAAGTTTACGGGTCCTTAACAAACCGTTACAACTTGTAAACTAGAGTCCCACGAGCCTCAACAACACTTGCTCGGAGATACCGCACTCCAAGACTTCAACCCGAAGGAAAATACCTTTCCTTCGTACAACCAAGGGAAACAAGCTTCCCTTAACGTGTATACAACACTAAAAACACTCAAGAACAAGACTCTCTATAAGAGTAGATATTGAGTAAAATATACGCTCAAGAACAACTCAAACTTCACACAAATTGGCTCTAGAAAGCTATGGAAAATGATGTTGTTTGAATGCAATGATAATAGGAGTAATGTGAAGTGAATTGATGAGAAAAGCAGACCCAAACACCCCTTTTTATAGTGCCAAAATAGGCTCCAACGGACCAATACATTAAAGGGGTGATTGGCTTGATTTATGGGATTGAATAAATTTGGGATCTGCAGGATATTGGCTTCCCATCAATGTTTGGACTTACCCATCGCTGGTAAGCCAATTTTTCCTTCAGTTTTGAAGCCAACGGTCACCTACCCATCGATGGGTAAACACTTCCCATCGCTGGGTGGGATGTTGACTTTCAAACAAGGAAAGAATCAGCCTTAAATGACTCACAACGGTCATGCCTAACCAGCCATGGGTATGCCCTCCCATCGCTGGGTTCCCATTGATGGGTAAAGGTTCCCATCGCTGGGTAAGGTCATTCTGCCTTGTGATTATATTGGACCAAGGCTTGAACAGCGATGGGTAGAGCTTCCCATCGCTGTTTGGCATGGTTCTGGAATTCAATTGGGCTGAAGGCCGCTTACCCATCGCTGGGTAATATCTCCCATCGCTCGGTGGCATGATTATGGAATCCCGGGATCACTTACCCATGGATGGGTGATATCTACCATCGATGTGTAGATGGCTAGCCCAGGACCATGGCCTAGCTGACCGGTGCTAAAACCCGACCGAAATATGCAAAGTTCTCCAAAGTAAAAAATAAGTATATAAAACACTTATTTAATGTATTGTGATCTCAAAACAAGCTTTGTAAGTTGAAAACCACGTCGTTAAGGTAAAAACCATGGTCGACCAAGTCAATGCCGTACACGGGTGGTTTTTACCAAAAGACAAAACCGAAAGGTGGTTTTCATGATATTTTGATTGGAGAACCATTTAAATGCATTCAAAAACAATTCCCACACAAAAATACTCGAAAACCACTTCATTTAAGTAAAAACCACGGCTAGCCAAGTTTATGCCGTTTCGCATGGTTTTTATCAAATGACAAAAAATGAAAGGTGGTTTTTGAAGTGTTTTTTAGGGAAAACTATTTAAATGTGCCCAGAAGTAAAAACCAATCATAAAAAGTTGAAAACCACTTGGTTGGTTTGGACGCTAAAAACCAACGCCGATAACCGAATGCCGAACGCTGGTTTCCGAAAGCCGAACCCCAGAGGACTTAGTTTTTGGTTTGGGCGAACGCCAAGTGTTTTTAATATGTTTAAGCATGTTTGAAAATAATTTTGATGATATGTAAAATGCAATAAAAAATGTTATAGCCTAAAGAGCCAAAGTGCAAAGCTTGGGTCGGTCTTGATCACATTGTGGCCTACTCAACGATGCTAAAGACTACGGTCTTCGTTCTTGGTCTCTTTTAGCTCTGGTTCTCTTGCTTTCTTCTTATATCTATTTCTTGCCTTGTATATTCAACAACTTGTCTCGTTCACGGCGGTTTGGCATTATCAAAACCTGTCATAAAAACGAACACGGCTTTTGTACGAAAACACGATAAACCCGTGTTTCAACAATTTCCCCTTTTTTGATAATGGAAAACAAGACGGGGTTATGCATAGGAGGATTAATTTGAGACTTAAAAATGTTCCCCCTTAATAAATGCAATTTTCTTTTCAACAAAGTTTATGTGTTGAATAAGAGTTAGTTTTAGAAAAAGTTCCCCCTCAATCTATGCATAACCTTTATATCTTCCCCCTTTTGACATTAACAAAAAGAATTAAAAGTAAACTTTTATTCATTAAAAGGGAAATGCGGAATACAACGGATAAAAATACAATCATATTTAATAAGGAGAAAATATAGAAGAGGTGGTGGCGTCGGTGTTGGCCTTCTTCTCTGAAGCCTCGGTTTTGGTCCTTGACTTTCCTCTGGCCATTGATGAAGCGTTTAGAAAGTGAGTAGAGGCTTAAAGTATGCAAGAGGAATGTGAATTGTGTGTTAAAAATGACCAAGGATGGTTAATATTTATAGGAAAAGAGAATTTGGGCCCTTGGTGTTCGAAAATATGGCTGTTGGGCATTGAATGAGGTTCCCAACGGCTATGATTTTTGAACTGCAGCAGGCTTCCCAGCGATGGTAAGGTTCTCTCATCGATGGGAAGACAGGTGCTGGAAAGGGAGGAAAAAGTGAAGGCAGCCTTCCCAGCGATGGTAAGGATCTCCCATCCATGGGAAGACAGCTACTGGAAATCTGTTAAATTTTTTTTAAAAAAAAGTGTCAAACACCCAGCGATGGGAAGAAGTTCCCATCGATGGGAAGAGGACTACTGGTTAGAAAATACTTCCTTCCCAGCGATGGGATAAACCACCCATCGCTGGTTCCCCCTGAGTTCCTCACTTTGATACGTACCTGCAAAAAAAAACAACACTTTGGTACCCAAAGTATGTCTATGGGTCCATGGGGGTTAGTTAACCTTTATTGCCCACACACACTCAAAATTCGTTTCCTTACGCCCACACACACACACACACGATTAGATGATCGTTTAGGAGTTACCTTGGCCAACCCATGATCTTGTGGTTGGCGGGTTCCAGTCTACCTGAACGGAGTGTCGATATCTTGGTGTGATTTGTGTTGGTTCCGGTAACGGAATGTGGACTTTCTTCTTTTCGTCAAAGTAGAAGAAATAGTAAGGTTTCTTTTGTGCATTATCCTGTGAAGATTGTTTATGATACGAATATCCTTTTCCAAAGGATTTCTTTTTGTTAGCACCAAATATGTTGTGTGTTTCATTATAGGTGAAGTGCCTATGTTTGGTAAAACACACGGGAGCTATATGTCCTACCCTATTGCAATAATGACATACTACGTTTGGGTTGAACATATGCCGAGGTTGATAATAGCTAGGGGGCCTAACCATGTTTGTCCTATTTTGAGAAGAGGATGGTTTATGCATATTTTCAAAAGGATCATTTCTAGCTGTTCTCATATTGTCTCTTCTATTTTGAGAAAATTATTTTTATGCACAAAATCATTTTGATAATTTTTCTTAGGTTGTCTACCATGAATGTTTTCATTCCTAGGTTTTTGTCTAGGTTGTCTAGTTTTCTTAGATTGACTAGGTTTTCTATTTGATTTTTATCTTTCTTACGTTGAGCCTTAGAAGGTTGTCTAGGTGTTTGCTCAACGTTTTCTTTATTACTAGGTTCATCAATCTTCCCAAAACCTATTCCTTGTTTAGTGTATTGCATAGAATCAAAAATGAGATTAAGATCCTTATGTGGTTTATTAAATTTCTTCACCGTGTTTTCTAATTCAGCAACTTGTTCTTTCAAGGCTATGCAAGAGTCACAAGGTTTTGTAGAGCTCTCGGGTTTGTCGGCGCTTCTTTTACCATAAATTTTATTTTCCTCTTTTAGTTTTTTGTTTTCCTTTTGAAGTTTTTCAAACTCAGTTTCAAGACTAGAAAAACGTTTCTTTAAAGCTTTGTTGGTTTTAGAAGCGCTAACAAACTCGTCATAAAGCTCTTGGATAGCTTCTTGCATTTCTTCAAGAGAATAAGAACCGGTAGAAGAAATACGTACCTCTTGGTTTTCGTTGTTGGCGGACTCCTCTTCTTCTTGAGCTATGAGACAAAGATTTGCTTCCTCTTCTCCCTCTTGTTCGCTTGATTCATCGCCGGAGGCTCCACCCCACGAGATGTATGCTCTTTGCTTTTTGAAGTGAGGAGCATTCCTTTCGCTTCTTGGGCATTTGTTCTTGATGTGCCCAGCTTTACCACATCCATAGCACACAGGGCCATCCTCAACTTTCTCTTTCTTCCATAGAAGTTTACAAAACTTCTTCATGACAAGCTTGACTTCATCTTCGTCGCTTGAGTCATTCATTGCCGGTTCTTTGGAGGCTTTTAATGCTATGCCTTTTCCCTGATCATTCAAAGACGGGTTAAGTATAGTAGATTCATATGTTTTTAAGTTACCTCTTAAACCGTCGATGGTGACATTTGACATGCCGATTGACTCATAGATGGCATCGGCCTTGGATCGCCATTCGGATGTCAAGCTCCGTAGGATCTTTCGTACAAGATCCCTGTCGGTGTAAGTCTTCTTCAATGCATGAAGATTGTTGACTATCTTGGAAAATCGGTCGAACATGTCGTCGATCTTCTCGTGCTCCTTCATCCTGAACATCTCATATTCTTGGGTGAGGAAGTCAATCTTGGCCTCACGTCCTTGGTCCGTTCCTTCGTACGTCACCTCAAGTTTATCCCACATCTCCTTGGCGGTTGAGCAGCAGGAGATCTTGCGGTAGTCATCAGGATTTACAGCACAATAAAGCATGTTTATTGCCTTTGCATAGTTCTCGACCTTTTTGATGTCCTCGGCATCAAACTCGTCTTCGATCTTGGGGATCAACTTGTCGCCAACTTTCTTCATCGGCACCTCTTCCCCGTTTTTGATAACCAACCATAATTGGAAGTTTGTGGAACGAATATAGATTCTCATTCGTTCTTTCCAATATGTATAATTGGTTCCATCAAAAAGTGGTGGTCGTGTAGTTGATTGCCCTTCACCTATCCCTGCGTACAAATTTCTAGAAGAAGAACCCATAATCGCTTTTACTCTCAAGCAGTTAAGTTTGGATGCGAGTTAGGCTTCGATACCAATTGTTATTAATAAGTGACCAACGCTAGAGGGGGGGTTAATAGCGTTTGATCGTAGAAATCACAGGAATAAAAAATTAAGAACGTGAAAAGTAAAGAGCGTAGAAAGCGTAAAGGGAGCACACCAAGATTTATACTGGTTCACCACAACGTGTGGCTAATCCATTCTCCCGAGAGACTCTCTCGAGCTACACTACTATCTCGTTAAGCTTACGGGTGCTTAACAAACCGTTACAACTTGAGAACTCGAGTCCCACGAGCCTCAACAACACTTGCTCGGAGATACCGCACTCCAAGACTTCAACCCGAAGGAAAATACCTTTCCTTTGTACAACCAAGGGAAACAAGCTTCCCTTAACGTGTATACAACACTAAAAACACTCAAGAACAAGACTCTCTATAAGAGTAGATATTGAGTAAAATATACGCTCAAGAACAACTCAAACTTCACACAAATTGGCTCTAGAAAGCTATGGAAAATGATGTTGTTTGAATGCAATGATAATAGGAGTAATGTGAAGTGAATTGATGAGAAAAGTAGACCCAAACACCCCTTTTTATAGTGCCAAAATAGGCTCCAACGGACCAATACATTAAAGGGGTGATTGGCTTGATTTATGGGATTGAATAAATTTGGGATCTGCAGGATATTGGCTTCCCATCGATGTTTGGACTTACCCATCGCTGGTAAGCAAATTTTCCTTCAGTTTTGAAGCCAACGGTCACCTACCCATCGATGGGTAAACACTTCCCATCGCTGGGTGGGATGTTGACTTTCAAACAAGGAAAGAATCAGCCTTAAATGACTCACAACGGTCATGCCTAACCAGCCATGGGTATGCCCTCCCATCGCTGGGTTCCCATCGATGGGTAAAGGTTCCCATCGCTGGGTAAGGTCATTCTGCCTTGTGATTATATTGGACCAAGGCTTGAACAGCGATGGGTAGAGCTTCTCATCGCTGTTTGGCATGGTTCTGGAATTCAATTGGGCTGAAGGCCGCTTACCCATCGCTGGGTAATATTTCCCATCGCTGGGTGGCATGATTCTGGAATCCCGGAATCACTTACCCATGGATGGGTGATATCTACCATCGTTGGGTAGATGGCTAGCCCAGAACCATGGCCTAGCTGACCGGTGCTAAAACCCAACCGAAAAATGCAAAGTTCTTCAAAGTAAAAACTAAGTATATAAAACACTTATTTAATGTATTGTGATCTCAAAACAAGCTTTGTAAGTTGAAAACCACGTCGTTAAGGTAAAAACCACGGTCGACCAAGTCAATGTCGTACACGGGTGGTTTTTACAAAAAGACAAAACCGAAAGGTGGTTTTCATGATGTTTTGATTGGAGAACCATTTAAATGCATTCAAAAACAATTCCCACACAAAAAGACTCGAAAACCACTTCATTTAAGTAAAAACCACGGCTAGCCAAGTTTATGCCGTTTCGTATGGTTTTTATCAAATGACAAAAAATGAAAGGTGGTTTTTGAAGTGTTTTTTATGGAAAACTATTTAAATGTGCCCAGAAGTAAAAAAAAATCATAAAAAGTTGAAAACCACTTGGTTGGGTTGGACGCCAAAAACCAACGCCGATAACCGAATGCCGAACGCTGGTTTCCGAAAGCCGAACCCCGGAGGACTTGGTTTTTGGTTTGGGCGAACGCCAAGTGTTTTTAATATGTTTAAGCATGTTTGAAAATAATTTTGATGATATGTAAAATGCAATAAAAAATGTTATAGCCTAAAGAGCCAAAGTGCAAAGCTTGGGTCGGTCTTGATCACATTGTGACCGACTCAACGACGCTAAAGACTACGGTCTTCGTTCTTGGTCTCTTTTAGCTTTGGTTCTCTTGCTTTCTTCTTATATCTATTTCTCGCCTTGTATATTCAACAACTTGTCTCGTTCACGGCGGTTTGGCATTATCAAAACCTGTCATAAAAACGAATACAGCTTTAGTACGAAAACACGATAAACCCGTGTTTCAACACAAATACCCTGCACTTCTTCTTCCTTAAAACCATGTCAAACCACTCCCAAAACATGTCTCATGGAGATTTAGTTGCTGAACAAAATAAACTCAAAAAGGAGCTTGATGCTTTGATGAAAAAGATTGGAGAGTTCAAAAATTCAGTGGACATTCCGACCTTTGAAGGAAGACACGATCCAGAGAAATTCCTACAGTGTCTTAAGAAGGTTGAACATATCCTAATCCTCAAGGATATGCCCGAAGGCAAAATGGTCAAGCTTGTAGCATCCCGGTTCCAACGAAACGCTGCCACTTGGTGGACACATATTTCCACTACGAGAAAGTTTGAAGGAAAGCCCAAAGTACAAACTTGGGAGAAGTTGAGGAAGCTTTTGATCAAGAGATTTTTGCCGAGAGATTACCATCACATGGTTCCCCCAAACCCCTTTAAAACTCATATCCCAACCATGCCTTTGTCTCCACAAAAACTACCCCATGAAGCCACTCCAAAAACACCAAGAGCAAGCACCCTACGCACGGCCACAGCCATCCCCATTCCATCACCCACACCTACATTTCAAACACCATCTAAACACATCTCTGTTTCTTCCTTAGCTACTGCCCAAAATATTCCCCAAACCTCTCCCACACCTACGGCTCAAAAACAACTTAACACCATGTCATTACCTTCCACAACTACTGCCCAGATTGTCCCCAATATCACCTCAACACCCATGCCCCAATACTCCTCAATAACCACCTCTTTTTTCTCTCCAACCCCTGCCCAAAAGAACCCCAAAACCCTCTCAATACCCCTGCCTCCAAACTCTTCCAAAACCATGCCCCTCATCCCTCCACAAAATGCCCATCACACCCCTAACTCCGGTCCAACGTCCCCACCCCAATCCGTTCCCAAAGTCATATATTTAAGCCTACCACAAACCCCCAAAAGTACCCTTGAAGAGTCATCTTTCTTCATGGTTCAAACTCCGACCTTTGCTACCCATTTTCCTAAGTCCGAACTACCTTCTTCTCAAGCTACCGAAACCATGCAGCCCACTACCCCAAAGATCATCTGGGACGAATATGATGACGAGGACTGTGATCCCATTTGGGATGAAGAACTTGTCAAAGAGAATGAAGAAGTGTTTGAAGACGCAGAGGATAACCCGTTTTGGGTTACAAAGATAAAAGAAAAAGAGCAAGAAGAGAAGACCCACGAAGAAGTCGTCACTCTTAATGCGAAAACCTCTGCTCGAGGCCTATCTTCGTTAACGGTACTTCGTACCAAACGTGTTGAGTTTTTGCAAGGCCGTATGAAAAGAAGATTGAAAAGAGTCATGACTCGAAATGGTCCATTCAGCCCGGTGACGTAATATGGGTTCACGTTCATAAGGCGCGTTTATTCAATAAACGCAAGTCAAAGCTACAACCCCAAGACGATGGCCCATTTGAAGTATTGGCAAAGGCTCACAAAAACTCCTACGTGATTGATCTTACCGAGGTCTAAAAGTTGCTGCCACATTCCATCGAAGAGATCTTAGCCCGTACGAGGATTTTGAAGATCTTCCGAGTTTGAGGACAAACTCTTTTGAAGACCGGGAGGATGTTATATCCGGGCTTGGCCCTACATACCCTCCCCCATCTCCCACACCCTCGCAAAAACCAAAGGACTTACGTTCAAACATTATGATCCATTTTAATGAGAATTCCAAGTCCTTCAACCCGAGAGGCCAAAATAACTTCGGACCTAAGGGTTCTTCTAACACCCTAATCCTTCCAGGTCTGCAGCCCCTTTCGGACTAAAGTATTAAGCTGGTATTCGTAAAAATTTAAAACATTTCAAACATTTTTATTTATCACAATAATATTTTTCATATCATAACAGTACATGGTTTTCAATATTGCGGAAGCTTAACAAATCATAATCACAAACATAATTTATTTATATTCTTTAATTCAAAACCATCACATCCATTCCGACTATCTCGCCTCCGTCTGCCTCCAGGATCACGTCACAACATTCTATTGACCTGCGTGTAGCAAATAAAACACGCTACACGCTCAGCGATAAAGCTGAGTAAGCATATCTAATGCGTCGAACATCCACATAAATTGAATCTCAAATCATAATCAACCATTTGATATCATGCACATAATGTTCAGTTCAGACATTCAATAATCAATATTCAATTTCCAACATTCATTATTCAATCATTCAACATGTATATACGTTATTCATATTCAACATTTATTTTATTCAATATTTATCATTTGTCATTCAAAAATATCCTTAAACTGTTCTTAGTCTAAGGCCAATCTATTTTACCAACTCTTAAAGGAATTCTAGTTTAATATAATTAAACTATATTTCAGTTTAAGGTACTCCTAAATAATCCTTAAGCTAGGCCTAGTTTAAGATGAAGGGTTTCCAAAATCTTAAACTTACCTTCGATTAAGGCCAACCAGAAACCGAACAGCGGAATGCTCACTGTCGGGTTGGGTGGTATCCCCAAACGAGTTCCTCGAGTTTGGTTTGTAGATCCCGTACATACGTTTTAACCCAGGCCACTGAATATTCATAATGATACCCGCAAGGCCTATTTCTAAGCTATCTTAGAGGTCTTCTAGATAGTCTTAGAAACCAAAGTCAACCTAGGTATATCTTAGAGTTCTTCTAGATATCCTAACAATCCAAATCATTTCATAATTATAAACATATTCATTTCAATTCATAATTTAATCCTTGATAATCATTTTAATTAGTGGTTTCCTCAAGCCATAATCATCATAATAATCATTCATCATAATCATCAATCAACATAACATTTGATAGCAAATAGCGGCCTAGCTTCGAGTGTTAACACTAGAACTTACCGTCATGCATCACATAACATTTTATTTTTCAAAAACATCATTCTTATTGTGGTAAATCATTTTTATAATGATCATAATCAATTGATATCAAAAACAAGATTTTAGAGCTCAAAAATGGCATTTTCAGACTAATTTTCGGATCAGATTTTCGGGGGATCGATCCAGCCCTCTGGATCGATCCATACTATGAAAAATCACTCCCAGGGGATCGATCCAAGCCCCTGGATCGATCCAGACAGTGGTGTTTCAGCCACTGTTCATCTTCTTCTTCGTTCGGGTCCAATTTCGGAAATACCGTTTTTAGTTATTGAACTTCAACGAAACTATATAGAGATGTTCTCCAAGGTTCATAGATCATTTTGGAATCATTAATTCATAGTTTTAACATCAATTCCATGGTTTATGATTCTTGGTTCTTCAAGCATGTCAAACACAAAACTCAACCAAACGAGCGTTTATGAACGTAGAAACGATCTATACGAACATTCTAGTCATTAGATATATCTACGGGCTTACCTCGAAGGTAAATGAAGGTTTTGAATATTTTCCGGCGAAACTTCCTGCGACGATTACTCCCAACTCCGGCGACCTCTCACCAAATTGACAGCACTACAGCGTTCTCCTTAATTTGAGCAATAGAATAGAAGAAGGAAGTATATGTTTTGGTGAAGAATTGAGAATGCTTAGCTCCCATTTAATTCATATAATTTGTTCTAATGATTTATTTCAATAAATCATTTCAAAGTTCACATCATAATAATTTCTTCATATATTCTTGATTTGGGTCTGTACACAGGTTCTCAATCAAGATCACATAATTAGTCAATATTTTGGATTTATCTCTATGAGACTTATCGTGATTGTAATATTCAATATTCAAACATATTTCATTTTGGCCCAAAGCCCAACAAACATTTATTCTTAATTAAAACAAATTTGATTAATTGATTATTTATTTATTAATAATTCTAGGGTATATTTTGGGGCGTTACATTTCTTCCCCCCTTAAAGGGAATTTCATCCTCGAAATTCTTCTAAGGCCAAACGTTCAACATTTCGTAGTGATCTCAATTAATCATGACCGTGTTATGCTCAATTGGTTAAACCATAATTACGTCATTATCCACACGGATACGTACTTCCAATGTTATCAAACTCTTTATTTCTTTAAGAGGTTATCAATCTTTGATTGAGTAAGGCATTCAGTGATCTTTCAGTATCAACAACTAAAGTTCCCGTATATAGGGTTGTAAACCTGACATACTGGACATAACACAATTCCCAATTGCATAACGTCGATTATCGGTATTCCTCCTTTGATTGAAAGTCTTTCGGTAGAATTTGCAGTTTCAAGTCATCACATTCACGATAGGTATAGTTGAGAATTTAGAGTTCGTTTTCAATCCATATATACATCGTAGCGTAGTCTTTCAAGTCACTCAAGACATCTTCACATTGTTACATAGTTCAGCAATGACTCGTTAGTAACATCAAATGGCTTTCCTTGATTCAGGATAGGGAGTTTGTCATCATTTATGAGTAAGTACTTGTCAATCGGTTGTAGAGTAGCTCGTTATCATCCATTTACATCGAAACATTTCTTCATTCACTTCACGGTAGTTCTCATTTATCGTTTAATGCTTCTTCGTATTCATAGGTGATGACGTTCGAGTAGCGTCTCATGTACGACTTGTCGTATTCAAACTTCTTCTATTAATTTTAAAACATATCTAGATATGATAGCGACAGATTCAATTGTAGCACTATGGTTGATCTTGTTTCGAGGGAAGAAGAGAAGATCTTCAGTACGTATTTCAATTCATAAATTCATAGAGTGAGGGATCTTTACAAGTTCTAACACCAACATCGCATATAGGTTCGGGATCTTCACTTGAATTATTCATCCTGTTCTTGTGACGTCATTTCTTCTCTGGTTGTCGCACATACATTTCCTTGTTAGAATTCTAACAATATCATCAATAATAATCTTCAGAGATAGCGTGATCGTATTGATCGTTGTAGTCCACAAAGAGAGGTTTAACATAATGTTTAAGTCAGGGTCGTTTTACTATTGTGATCGAGTCACGTATTCCATAGGGTATAGTTTTCAAAGATCGGTATCATGGTATTACCGAGTATTATTTTGGTTCCAATGAAGAATCATGGTTTTAGTATTTTGATACAAAGAATAGAATTCAATCTTTTCAAGATTGTTCAAATGAGATGTTTCAAGGGTGTGGTTAACATAACAAGTTTGAGTAATTCAGGGATATGAGTCACAAGATACAAAGATAGCGTTTGCGTATTACCACTACTAATCGTAGGTTTTTTTTAATGTTTCACTATTTGGAAGTTACTCAAGAGGTCATTATATTAGGGTTTTAGACATTTGGACTTTTCGTCTCGGTTTGAACGTATTCCAGGACATGTAACTGTTCATGAGTCTCAACACGTCATGTCATCATCAAACTGAGTACGTTCTTGTTGGCAGGTAATCCATCTTACTATACCTATTTTGGCTAGTGATAATTACCTTTCCATCAATGGTTCGGTTTCAGAGGCTATATATATATATCAAATTGTGGCAAGAGCATCTCACATTCTCACATTATGGAAGGGACTTCTCGAGCTCTTTCTTATACCATAACATTCGTTGGTCTACTTGGTAGTCATGCTCTTGGTAGCAATCCAAGGTTCATGGCTACAGCGGTTGATCTAGGACGGGAATTGGTAAGGCGAAAAATCAGGCTTACCTACGGAGGAGGCAACGTTGGCCTTCAAGGAGCTGTAGCTTCAACAGTCTATAATAATGGTGGTAGAGTCTGAGGTTTCATACCAGGGTATATAGCAACACGACAGGTTTACGGACCTACGTACGGTGTA